GGCACGTTAATCGTAGGGAACGCAAGACACTTGGTGGGCCTTTGAGATGCTGGCGAGCTGCGATTAGGACAATTTGCTCTAAAAGCTCAGTTGGAGTCGTGATAAGAGAGGCGGACATGCTCGAGGAGGGACAAAACTCGAAGAATGACTCTGCTTTTCAGTAAAACGGCGACTTGCGAATCATTGCTTGGAAGGGTATAGATTGGCACGAGATTCTCATGTGAACAAGATCGCAAGGGCGCTCCGCGAAGAAGCTATGGTACGGTCATTGATATCATTGGAAGGCGAAAGTAAGCCGCTCATATAAAGGACGTCAATATAATTGAGTCTTGTTAACCAACTTACCGGTTATATCCGGAATGTGATTGCGCCATGCTGTTGGAACGCATATTACCTAAATAGGAAAAAAGAATCTCAGATTAAACTTTCGGTACTAGTGACGAAGAACGCACACGGGTTACACCACGCAGCAAGAGGATCACGGTATGCGCAGCATGTCATGAGATCGCATCCGAGGCGCGCTAGTAATAGTAAGTGCCATCATCTCGGGTACTTCCTTCGATAAATAATATCAGTTATTAGACTGAAAACCTTTTGACTCTTACTAATATTAATGTCTCCATACGGTAGGAGCCAAATATCTGTCGTTGAATATCGCGGACTCCGTGCCCTGGCCGCTCCCTGTTACGTCCAACGAGATGACGTTAAATCTCTTTCGATTGGTATCTGACCTTTCGCCCTACAGGACTTTGCCAAAGCACGTGAAATGATTCAAGGCAACAAGAGGCGGCGATAGGAAATATGAGCATGAGGTGCCCGACATTGGTAGGCGTAATTGCTCAAGCGAGAGTTAAACTAACAACTTACCTCATACTTTTTCGGACCCATAGCAGTGGCGCCGTGCCCAATTAACATGGCGTTTTCCATCCTGATCGAACAATTTTATCTGTACCTTGGGCCTGGATCATCATCCCGAGATCTCGACTCCGTATAATTCTTCGACGAAGCAGACGATGTTGCACTACATAGGCTTAGTGGGCATGGGTTCCCCATGGGGCAGGACCTTCGCTTCCGTTGAATTGAGCTCCGCGCACCTTGTGAGTGAAGATGCAATTAAACAGACGTACAATGTACGATAATACGCACTGATCTTAGTGCAGGCGGGCATTTGAAGCGTTCGATTACCAGAAGTGCATTCGGAGATAATCAGTTAGCAAAAGGGAACAACCCGTGGCTCACACTGCTGAAACGTTAGTGCACGTTTTAGTCGGCGCGCGAACTTTTACCCGATGTCAAGTTGTATACTTGTATGATATTAAACCATTCAATTCAGTCCCGATTAGTTTTGAGGCCCTCGGGGAGGTAACTCGTTAAAGAAATAATGAGTTCGAATATTATTAGAGTTCGACTCGGACAAGCCTTCCGTCCCGAGATTCGCTTCAAAGACTCCGAGGACCGAGTCGGACGCGTCCCGGTTGTATATCAATTGCATACCTACGCTTATCGCTAATTACATAGCTAGACCATCATCCCGTTCTCCCATCAGTCATCATTCCGCAACTCCTGGGCATCTCCTCGTGTCTACACCAAGTCTGGCCTCAATTTCTATCTGCATTTTCTACACCCCAGCTCCACTCTCTCGTCAGTGCCAATCCAGATGATTGCAAGTACTATGATGGGCCTGCCAGCAAAGTTTTCGCCCGCGATTCAGGGTAGACCAACTCACAATGTGTCACATTGCATTTACTACAGGAACGGGCGTTTACTGTATGACTCATTGCAAGAATGAGCTAATTCAATACTCTCATAGGCACACTACTGCTCTGCCGCATTTACGCCCCTCCGCCCGGTAAAAGTCCACGACTCCTTCTGCCATCGTTAGTGCATGACTATGATGGAAAATGGAATCAGATGACCAGTTCTCATCGATGTATTCTGCAACCATTGATGAAAAAAAACATTGCATCTACTATGCGCGCTGCTCTCACGTCATTGGAAACAAAACTCGCAAGAGCAAACCTTTGTCCTGAAGGTGAGATCGCGGTCGTTCCCACAAAAGTATCGCCAACTTCAAGTTGCAACGAGGCATAACAGCCACTATGACTGGCGTGGGCGGATGTAGGGCCAATAACAGTATCACTATCGACACTTGCGTCAGGACTTCTTCATGCCCATCTCAGCCTTCAAGGCCACCGTTGAATAATATGTTCAGCTGAAGGGGATAATCCACCATTACTAGAGTTTTATCTCACGAAGAAGTTGCACGTAAGACTATGGTGATTCCCAACTAAACCTGGCTGGATATGATCAACCCTTCCGTTCTTGCGACGCTTCGTCAACACGCAATACTTATTGTCAACGTTCAGGACCATGGCTGTGAGTTTAAGCGCTTTCCTTTTCTATTCCTTGTTGAGATGTTAACTTTATGTTCCAAAACAGGATCTTTCTTAGGACTCAACTTAGCTATTTCGAGTACTTCCGTGGGACAGACTCCCAACATTATGGGGTCATGACGCAAGGTTTTGGTCCAAATTCGCGACTTCCCGACAGCGCACGTACAACATGCTTCCCGCCACAGTCTCGGATAAAACGTTCTGGTCCGAGCATGTTCATAAAACACCCAGCCGCCGCATCTGATCGTGGGTCAAATGGCACAATCTCTTCGTCGATACGCCGGCAGTACGTATCACCAAATCCCGAGGTGATAAGTAGGCGTTTCAGCGCCTTCATTGTTGGGCATGTGGATGAAGCTCCCCGCACTAATAGGCTTCATAGTACATACTACGCCCAGTCGAGTAATTTATCTCATAGGTAAGTAGAGGCACGAACAGAAAACTGCCACGAATGCTGTACCACAGCAATTCTCAAGATCTAGGATGCAAAAGTATGTTACAACTCTTTAATGCGCGGGTTACGAGAATCTTTATCGTATCAGCACTCCCGGGCCCTGCGATTCTCATGTCAAATCTGATGATCTCCGCAGTGCTCATATGCGTCTCTCTCATAACTCGCCAAATACAATGTTTACCACCTTGTCACCCTTCACACGTTACCTTTCACCTGAAGGCTTCATAAATGAATGGTCGCACCCTTGCAAGCATGCAGACGAATGACTATCAGGAGTCGTGTGAATGAGTTTTCGACGACTCAAAACTCATTCACACGACTCCTGAAGGCCTGATAGTCGTTGTATCCTTTCCAGGATCCAGATGATGTAATCCCGACGGCGTACTTAAATTCCGACGACTTCGGAAACCCGCGCGACACCACTCATGCCAATCACCACAATGACAGCTGGGCTTTAGCCTTATGCACGCTTACATACATCAGGCAGAACAAAAAAACGCACGAGCAACGGTTGTCGAGCGCGAATTCAGATTGTGCCCGAATGCATGCAGCCTTGACGGCATCCACACGTTCCACACCACTTCGAATTTCCTGTACTTACTAACTTTTGTAAGTACAGCAAATGTTGATTGACGTCACGGTGCTGCGGTCGCCAGGTAAGCACTCCGGAGTGACATGAAGTGGAACATTACGCGGAAGTACCCTTAGAGGAACATCATGATGGACTGGAGACATTAACATCGATCAGGCGAGAACTAGCCAAGATGATCGCGACGCTCACGGTAGCCCAGTGGCCACCACAGCTTTCAATCATAAGGAGCCCCCATGCCGACACCATCGCTAATGGACGCGCATCAGACTGCTTGCGAACCCTTGATCTCATAATAAATATAATGAGATTCGCACCACTCCATATCAAAACCATATCAGCGTAATCGAAGCGCGAGGGTCCATTAGGCGGATAGAATAGCGGGAATGTAGCCTGACGGTCATCATGTGAGTACCCGAGGAATGACGGAAGCGCATAGTATGCGAGTCTCAGGCGAGGAACGTCAATATCAAGATGGCGCTCCATCGCGGGGAAGACGGAGACCAGAATGAGTGACTATATATTTTATTCGAAAGGGGGGTATGCAGTATAAATGTCGTGTTCTCATTAATGGGGACTAGGCCTTGCAGGGCTGAGATATCGGGATCAAGCGGTATTCCATAAGTGAACTCTGATCAGTCAATTTCCGCCTTATGAAGCGAGACGGACAGACATTTGAGTAGGGGTCTTGTGTGGCCCATCGTCACCAACAATTGATTTTTCCTGTTCCGGCATAGGATACGAGCAACTGTCACTGGCTTGGCAAGTAGTACTCACGAAGAATTAACGAGAATTCCCAACATAATTGTCTAAGTATAGGTAAGATGACAGTTTTGCATCACATTTGGCAAGCTTTTCCGTTGCTTGATTACTACCTATTGCATAGAATGAGTAAAGGCTTTGTAAGGAGTGAATAATCACTTGCCTTGTGTCATTAGTCCCATAATTCAGGCAAATTAATAGCGTCATATCATCTTGAGAAGTCTCAGTAACAAGAGAACTTGAAAGTCAGATGAAAGTCACGCAGTTGTACCAATGGGATTGATTCTCCCCGGTACCGGTGCATTTCGTTTATGCCAAAAGCCGCGTAGATCTTTCTACACCGTGATAGAAAAGTTCATATATGAATGCACAGGATGCCATGAGGCAAGGGTGTGTCTAATATGACGAAATGGTTTGGCTCTATAAAATGCAGGGGACACCATATTTAACAAGTTTTACACACGAAGGGAATACAAGGACGACTTACAAACGCTCAGTACTCAGTGCTCAGCATTGGTGACAGTCTAGGGTAGTCAATCAAGCCTCATAGTATACAGAAAAAATCACATCGGGTCAACTGCTAGTCCGGGTATCGTCAGGTTCGCATTCTATGGATTACCAACGACAGCTTGTAGTATCCTGCAGGGTAGATGTAACAGCACCAAGCAAATTGTTGTTGGTACTTCGAGTTGTAGTACGAGTCGGGGGTCTCACTACCGTCGGACAAGTCGGGCTTGTTCGGTGGGCCGGCCCTAAAGAGGCATTTCGAAAAAAACTTTAAATTTTAAACTTACCATTCCACTCAACCATCGCTGCAGTGATAAAGATGTCTTTGAACTTCGACACCCTTGAGCAACACCTAAGTACTAGGTCCTACATCGAAGGGTGAGTTTTTTTCCATCCTTCAACATTTTTTCGTGATGATCATCATGCTATGGTCCGTGTTTCCAAGAAGCGACTAGACACCGCTGCTCAGATATGCCGATAACTCTTTACCTAGCCTTCTGATTCTCCTTTGGCTTGTAATGTTTGTTATATTTAGCTAAATCTTTAGTTTCCAGGTACACGCCCTCTCAGGCAGACGTTCACGTTTACAACTTGCTCACGGCACCAGCGCCATCCAAGTACCCGCATTCTGCCAGATGGTACTCTCACATCAAGTCTTACGCTGCGGAGCATGCGACTATACCTGGCACAAGCACGGCTGGGCAGGCTTTCCTTCAATCGGCATCGACTCCGGCTCCGGCTGCTGCTGAAGAAGACGACGAAGTTGATCTTTTCGCTGAAGACGATGAAGAAGACGCAGAGGCAGAGAGGCTCAAAGCAGAGCGTGTCGCCGCTTACAATGCAAAGAAAGCCAATAAACCCAAAGCAGCTGCGAAGGTTGGTCTTTTCGTTTGCTTTATATCGCGGCGCTTATGACAGCTGCCTCCAAATAGTCTGTTGTAACCTTGGAGGTTAAACCTTGGGATGATGAAACCGACATGCAAGCACTCGAGGACTCTGTACGTTCCATTGAACAGGAAGGTCTTGTTTGGGGTGCCAGCAAACTAGTCGCTATTGGCTATGGCATCAAAAAGCTCCAAATCACTGTGGTTGTTGGTGAGTTATCATTCCTCATCGTATCGATGAAGGGGTCATTCATGACTTTTTGAACAGAGGACGAACTCGTTTCCTTGGATGATCTACAGGAGAAGGTTGCTGAATTCGAGGACTACGTCCAGAGTTCCGATATCGCTGCCATGCAGAGTAAGCATCCTCTTGTATCTTGCATAACGCTTCACGCCTAACTTCTTCCCAAAGAACTGTAATTAAACTGGGTGTGGATGAGCGAGATTTTGTAAGCTGTAACAAGACAAGTTAAGAAGAAGAAGCATCATTCTAGGAAATGTGAAGGTTTTGTGCGATACGATCATTGTTAATGTGCGTGATGAAAGTACTAGTGCCAATTAAATGGACCCACACATCAGACGCTCCCTGCAAAGCACAGTCCCAACCGTATGATGAGTTGGCTTGTTCATAACGCTGACACTGCATAGTATCGGCCACCCGCATGCACAAAACACGCATCAATATTGATTGTAAAGTTTAGGTCATTTACATACAGAGAAGAAATAGCTGCTGCGCACAGTGCGTAGGCAACGCGCGGGTTCATATTTCGCTTCACCCACGCACAACTTTGTGAGTGGTTGTCACGCTAGATCAGTCAGTGGACAAGGTTAACTTCAAACAGATGGGGGAATGCACAAAGCAGTGCAAACCTATGTTGCCTTTCTTGGTGTATCTTAGGAAATGCGTTTTGCCACCGCCATTTGACCGTTATCATAATGCCAATGCACCATCGGAGTGGTTCGATGCTCGGAACGCTTGTTGCCATCTGACAACGAGTCAGGATTATTCATCTCCGTGCTTGAGCAAGTTGCTTTGGCAGCGACGGCTCTCGATGAGGCTCTCTTACCCTCGTCAGATGCTGGAAGCTCAAAGGATGTTTCACAAAATATGGTGGATCCATTGAGTGCTCAGCAGTCATTTACTGCGCAATGGTGTCGCAGCAAGCTATCCGCCTTCTTGCTTTGCACTCAAATTTGAAGTGATGTACACGTTCAACTTTAGCGGTCGGACCTGATTCAGCAGTACTAGTCTGGGAGATGACCACTAGGACAGCAGTTGCGCAATCAACGCCACATATATTGCCCCGTGCTAGAAGTGGAAACCATTAGGCCAGGAATTACGGTGCGCTTCCGATAGCACTTGCTGTGAAGACGGATATATGAATTCAACCAGGCACACGGGTATGTAGCCACGATTACAATCAAGATCTGATCTGGAGAACGTGTATTTACCTCTCTTTCAGACGTTTCGATTTTCTCAATGAGAAAAGTGAACCTCCGCTTAGTTCGCGCGGTGATCTCATTGCTTGAACGGCACTCCGCCACTCACCTGCTTTCTAGTTTAAAAGGGGCTTGGAGTTATGATTCTACACAGCATATGATGCTTCCTCACCTCGAATCAATCCCTGTCGATGTTCTGTCCCAGATAGCTTTCTTCACTGTTGCTTCCGCGCCGCTCACTGGTCTTGGTGCTGTTCTCCAGCTACTTTTGTGTAGCCGCAACCTACATGACGCCCTCTCTCTGAAATCTTGCCCCCAGCTTTATGCGCGGGTGTTTCGCAGTAGATTCGACCTAGTTGCTCATCTCCGTCGCAGCAAGCTACCATCTCCAACGACTACGAACCTGGCATTGGAGTTACAGCGCCGATGTGCGGTGCTTCGACGTATCCGGCATCGCCATGTTGCCGATCACAGTATCCTTCCCGACCTCTGGACAATCTACCTAATGCTGTTGGAGAGCGATGGGATGAACGAATCTCAACTTCACTCTGCCGGCATCGCGCAATATATACGTATGCTCTTGAAACGTTGCCTTGGCCAACAAGGGGCCCTCCGTGACGACACGGCTCGCGCATTAGCTATATCTGTCGCATGTTTGGTTTGGTCTCACAGTGAGGCTATTGCACACCTTTCTAGTATATAGGCGTTCCTGATTTTAATGCATCGTCCAGAGTTTATTACCGATATGCCGCCGGAGGAACGCAGTCAGACGCTTTCGGAACTAAGACCTTTTGTCACAGGGTCGTCAAATGTGATGAAGTGACCGCGCCCACATATTAAACCATCACTGACATCATTTAATTAGGTTCCTTCGCTTTATGTGAACAGCGGGACAAGACGATGCCCTTTATCATTAGACGGCTCGTACAGCCGAGGACCAGAAATAATGTCCGGCGCTTGTATCGCAAATAATTGCCGGGCGCTCGTCTCCTCGATCTACACTAGGGAATACACGCTAACCACTCCCAGCCTTCTTTCCGCGTCAATCTTTCTCACTTTTGCACTGAAGGAGGCGATCGCTCTGCAAGTGCCCAAACACTTGCCGCAAACTCAGGCGGTTGCACGCCCCACGGAACATGATGGTCCTACTATAGAAGACTTCTTTGCCATCACAAGGAGAAGGACACCTCTTGTCGCTGATTCGGGTCATCAAAGCTCCTCCCGTGAGCCCTTTGCGGATCGTGCGGGAAGGAAGATGCGGGCATCAAGAAGTCTCGCTCACGATGAAGAGTTCTATCGTATTGCCCATCGCCTGGGCTTGCCGGATGACACTTGGGAACTTCGGTCGTGCATTGGGTTGCTAAGTGGAACTTGGGAAGGTACATATATGTGAGTGCCTGATATCATTTACTAGTCCTAATCGATGATGAATTTCACAGGGTAGGCGATGATCAATGGCTTCGAGAACTCGACTAAAACCTCCACAGACATCACCAACATCGTTTTGTCGATGTCCTTCCCAGAAATCGGATCCCACGGTTTTGCCTGATTTCGTGTCCAGACATCCTATCCAATGCCGACTTGAGGAACACCTCTGCTTCACACCATGCATTCCATTGCCCAGCGTTGCGCAGAATGGTGATTTCGGAGAGTCAGCGTTCAAACATCTATTCATGAATGATTGTGAAGGAGTCACTGTGCGTATGGTTCTCACTGCGTTCATAGTTGTTGACACGATTGTCATGCCTTCCCACCTCAAAGACAGCAAATGAATTTTCGGACGCCACAGGATCATCATCAAAACATCGATATGAACTTTTTCGCCCAACTGATTCTTCGGAAAACCACAGGGACCCACGGCATGCCCTGGATGTCGTGATCACTGGTGAAGTGAGCATTTCGTTATTAAAAGGGTTTTTTGGATTGCTCACGCATTCATCTAGACTCCACGCAGGCTGGAAGCCACCTGGGGTGCATTTATCTTCTTTGGAAGAATCCGCTTATCTGATGGACTTGTCACTCTGACGAGAAAACCAGTTAGCCATGCTTCGCTCGACGTATTTTTCACGTTCTTATGACGTATTTTTTTGCGCAGAAATACTCGGGTGACGAGGGACGTGGGACATGGATCTTTGAAGGTTATATCCACAATAGACGCTCCTTTGTCGGACGCTGGAGATCTTTTGGTGTATCCGAACGTGAGAGCTTACGGGGCATTTTTAGCCTGACCAAGGTGGATGATCCGCCTTCCCATTACTGTAGACTGTAGACGAAACTTTTTGTAAAATACATTGTAATTCTTATTTTGGAAGATAACACGGAAGTCCGCGCAAATTGTGGGAAGGGGGAAGGAGCGTGGACAGAACTTGCTGCTGTAAGAGCTCTTGGAGTTCCTGGACTGACCTAGAATCTACTGATGAACCAGCAAAGCCGAAAACACTTTGACGCGTTGTTTTCGTGCTAGCTCCGGAAATAATATTGCTGTTTTTTAGTCATAGTAGCGGAGTCCTTTCCACCAATGAGAGATCTTGGGTTCCGTGCTGTGACAAAGTTCTTGCCTGATATACTTGAGTGATAAGATAACCCATCCAGCTGGCGTGTGTTCTTGCTTCCTGGTTGTGTCCGAACGCTTGAGCTTTACATCTAAACGATAAACTATTTTCATTGGCCATTAGACTGTTGACGTAAGCATCGCCGCCCCATTGATCAATCGAAGATCACCGTGAGCCCGACACCAGCCGACACCTCTATTTTCACGACAAGGTTCATGTTGGTTGCGAGGCTTTGCGGGAATTGATGTTGCGCATCAATCCGATAGATCGTCTTCTATTTCTCGAGTTTATGGTGCCGAATATCGATGCATAAAACACGACTCTACATGTCAATCTCCGACTTCCGCAGACTAGACCTTTGTGGCACCCCATGATGAATGATATACAGTTACGATTTGCGCTAATCCCCTCAGCTGGACAGATTATAGCTTCCACGATTTCCAATTGATTTCCAATACCTCAGTTCTGCATTATGTATTTCGCCCACCCGGGAGGTCATCCGTTCGCTCATTTCATTCAAGTACAAAAAGGTGTGGTCTGCTGAGCGGTTACGTGTTATTAAAATGCGCTCCCGATATTATAGACTGGTGGCGACATTAGTGACGATATGCCGCACGAGGAACGATCATGAGCGAATGGTTCATGCAGCACCTCGACGGAAATGAGTGATTATGATCGAAATGGACCCAAATGCGGATTATTTTCACTGATCTATTTGACAATATTCCAACTCGAAATGGTTGTGGATAACCAGCACGCTGGCGCTGCTGACTCTTGAACTATCCTCTATGTTGCTACGACAAAGATTTGAGCATCGAAAGCGATTGGGGGTGAGACGGGTATCACACCGTTTTACATGTCATGTGCAGACAGGTCAGGGCTCTAGCCGGCGGAGTAAACCCGCCTACGACTGGTCATCGAAGCCAAGGGAGTTCGATGGATACTAGATGGAATAAGGCGGCAAAAAAGTGGTCGCCACGATAAGCAATTATGGGAGACACTCGGTGCTTACCGCGTTGTGGAGATGAACCCTTGCCGGTAGAATATCAGCTGGCCTTGCCGCATGTACAGCCTAGCGCAGATAAGAGGATTCGCAACCTGAACTGAGCGGAGTTCCAGGACTCTGGTCAAGCAACTTGCTGTAACGAGTACGATCCAATCCGAGCGTCCTGGTGCTCTCAAAGTACTTTCCTTGTATGTACATGCCATGTATTTGTCTGCAGAAGCAACCTAACTGAACAAGAATCCAGATAGGTTTGGGGTATGTGAACAGAAGCGGTGTCAGCACGACAGTGCGGATCCTGAAGGTGACGCACATGAGCCAGGCGAGATTAAGCGGCGATAGACTTACTGGAGTAGAACGTAGACTCTTTCATGTCCGTACTAGTAGGTTTTTCCTGGAACCGGGGGAGAGCAGGAGAGAAACAACCTTCTGTACTGGGAATTCTTATCACTAACCTAGTGTGTGAGAAGGAATCAAAGGTGCATACTTCAGGTAGGACATTTGTGATGCAGCCGTATGGGCCACTTGGCAGGTGTCTACAAGATCCGTGCTCGATCGGATATGGGTAAGCTCGGTCACGACTCGCAATAAATCATTGCATGCTCCTTGTAAGTGTGCGATACCAAGTTGCGGCCCGATCAACCAACTGATCTGTGGAGTGAGACTCGCGTGGAACAGATTAATCCAGGTACCGAGGTAAATGGTACACTCACATTGGTAGAGACCAACCGATAAGGTGAAAGAGCAAACAAGAGCAGTACCTCAATAGGCCACGATTCGTCCCTGTATCCCCCGCATCCATCCTGAAGACCAAAGGTACATTAAAAAGGTGCGGGCCGTCTATACAGGGCCGCTTGGGACGAGCGGCGGCGGCATGCCATAAATATTTAGAGTGAAGAGTGCTGAGGGTGATAACTTCCTGAAGCCTCGTATTCGACATCTTAAGATATCTGTCACAATGGGCGCAAGTTTTGATCAAACCGTTGCTAGTGCAGACTGCCAGCTACAATTGGAGCAAAACATGACTAGTGCTAGTGACTGGTCACCACGTGTGTTATGTATTTGGCTTTGTTTATAAATAGTAAATGATATTTTTGCACGATTGGTTTCTTTCACAACAGAAACTTCGTCGCCATCGTCGCCATCGACTGCAAAGAACCCGTCCACTCGTTGATATCTATCATACCTTGCAATGAAGTCATTTGCTATTCTCTCCTTATTTATCACTGCTTCTTTGGCACAGTCTGTAAGTATCAAGTTTGGTGAAATCATTGGTTGCTAGACTGACGACACTGTTTCGAAACCAGTCCTCCAGTCCCAATCCTTACATTCCTTCAGGAATCAGTCAAGGTTGTTCAGACTATTTGACTAGTCTGAACAGCAACAGCAGCTTCTCCTCCTGTACAACGCCGATTACATCTGCGACATCTGCGTTCGCACCCGGGGTCAACTCGAGTGACATCACCACGAGCCTTATCAACACTGTATTGAGCAACCTCTGCTCGGCATCTGCATTCGCTGCATGCCCTGACAGCACTGTTCGTTCTCAGTTGTTGTCCTACTACTCGGCATGCTCAACAGAGCTCACGACGAATATCAATACCGATGTCCTCAGGACTTACGATGTTCTCTATGTCCTGACGCCACTCAGAGAAGCCGTATGCTCAAAATCTGACAACGGGCAATACTGTGTCACACAGCTGAACACCACGTCCAGCAGTTCTGCTGCTGGAAATGTGGCTTTGGTGACCCCCAATAAACAACAGGCGTTGCAGCAATACCTGTATACAACGTCTAATAGTGGGGCTTCCGCACGTCGGGACGTCAGCAACTCCACCACTGCACTTATTCCCAACACCACGACATTCCAGGATACCAATCTCGTCTTCCTCTTCCTTGATCCCAAAATGAATTCGACTCAACTCTGCACCACTTGCACACGCAACATTCTCACGTCATACATCACGTTCGAGTCCAGCCTCCCTTACGCCCCAGGTCTGAGCAACAGCTTGCTGCTCGGTGGTCAGTCTACTCTTTACAATGCCGTCACGACAACTTGCTCGAGTGGCTTCTTGAGTGGCGCTGTGCAGGCTGCCGGCGGCCTGTCCAGTGGTCTTCTCAGTGGCAGTCCCCGGTCAATAAATGCAGATGTATCGTTGCTCGTCAGTGCTATCTTAGGTGCTGCAGGTCTTGCGGTCACAGCTTTCTGAGGCCTACACTATACAAGTCTAGAAGACTCGTAGCTGATAGTTGTGGAATTTTGATGGTTTGTTTATGGTGACTGGAACGGACTTGTCTATTATTATACCTGTTGCAATTCCTCTTTAGACAAATACTCTCCAGGCATTATCTTTGAAGTTATTTGTCTTCTTCCCTTTCACTTTTTGATCCTTGTGGACATGGTGTGCTTGGAATCCTTTCAGTCGTTTGCCCGGTATCAATTCGGCTCAATATACCAACGTACTCATCTCATTAATGATACAATAAGCTTGTCGGCTGTGCCGCGAGGCCTTAGAATTGTTCTATACCTACAGTATCCAAATAAACAAGTGCAGTTCGCAAACGTATCAGCGGTTGATGGATGATCGAATCCTTGGAAACCACCTTGGAAATGCGTTTGAGTTTCATACAATGGTTACAATACATCGACACTAAGTGGCGTATCAAATGCTCTGCATTCCTTGGCTGAAATAGCGAAGGATAGGAGTGCGGGTATGAATAGATCCTATATACAAATTAGTTCAGATGGAGCTCCGAGCTAGCAAGGTAAATCATCGCACCATAGCCAACATGAAGTTGTTGCAGCACAGAAGAGGTTCACATTTGAAGTACAAACGCAAGCAACAGGATTTCCACTATCATCACGAGTGCACCAACAGCAATAACATCGCGTCCAGCCGTTATGAATGGACGACCATACTCTCGTTTGTCTTCCTGCCCGACAGTAGGGAGCGCCTGTTCATAAAGAGCGCTAGTTTTTGATCCGTCGGAAAAGTCGTGCTGTGAGTGTCGAGCACGAATATACCCGAGAGCGAAAAGGAGAATGGAGAGAACGAGATAGACAATACCAACTGTTCGATGTTATGGGTGACGGAGGGGGAACCAGGTGACGGTCATCATGGAGGAAGTCAAAGACGATAAGATAGCAGACTTACTTCGAAGAAAACGTGAATCAAATAGTCGGAGGGCCGTTAGTGCGTACCCAAGGGTAGCAATGGCGGTACGGCGGTAAGCACCGTTAAATGTGCGATTGCGTGCCCGAAGTTCAGTGAGCTCAAGGACATCAATTGGCTTATATGAATCTGCTCTATGACCTCTATAATAATATTCAACCATATTAATGATCGCAAGTTATTTTCGTAGGGCTCACCGGTATGTGTGCATGATGAAGCTTAAGGTGAAGTGAAGTATCAATATAATCACGGGTCCAAAATATTGACATCGATAGTACTGTGAGAAACTGGCTCGGCTCGGTTCGGCACATTAAATTATTTCTCTAACCTTTACAGCTCAAGTTGCGGTGGTGGTCAGCTTGAACAGAGTGTAGGCTTGACATTAAATTTGATGCTTCTACCTTCAACGGTACGCGTAGGCATTCGCCTGGGTCCAAGGGTTTCTGGTGCAAGGTAGGTTTCTGATGAATGAGTCTACCGACATAACACTGCTAATGACACTACAGAATATTGCCGCAAGTGTCTCAAAACCAAACGCGGTTTTTAACCTTGCCGGTGCGTGTTGAAGAGTGTCACATACGCTTGTTCACTCAGTTTTCCTCCAGCATTCAAAAATTATGCCGAGGGTGATCTCTTCTCGGCACATACCGCATACTCGTAACTTCTGGTGGTCAAAATCAAAATCGGCAATACCTGAGCAGCAGGCGACGTTGGTAGTGGAGTCAGCACCAGCTTCCAGTAGCAACATCGGTACCGCTGTTGTGGACTTGGAACCAGCAACAACAACCAATGCAGCGACACTGGAGCTAGACTCTGCTCCGATACCAGCGACTACCACGCAGGATAGTTTAACAGCTGTTGTTGACAGCGGTGCGGGTATCGATATTCCTGCGCTTGACACCGTTATCCGACCCCTTCAATATGGAGATTTAGCAGAACTAGGCCTCGCTGGCTGGTCACCGGCTGGTATCATAAGGTGGTCATTCGAACTTCTACAGGTCAGCACTGGAATGCCGTGGTTTTACACGATCATTGCTGGCACACTTTTGTGGCGTGTGCTCATTTTACCTGCCAACATCATGAGCCTTCGCAACTCGTCGCGTTTACTTCCCTATACCGATCAACTGCAGGCCGTGACGGCGGAATGGAAATCAATCAACACCAGCGACCGCATTGCGTTGCAGCGTATATCCCTGAAGAGACAGAAAATTTACGAACAAGCGGGAGCGCGGGTGCTTCCTTCCATTATCATGCCCTTTGTTCAAATCCCAGTCACATTGGGTTTATTCTTTGCTGTCAGGAAGATGACCATGCTTCCTGTAGAACAGCTCAAGCAGAGCGGCATCTTTTTTCTGCCTGACTTGACTATGTCGGACCCATACTATATCCTACCCATCTTGTCCACTGTTGCCATCAACATCCAAATGTCGGTGCGTGTGCTTAGAAGTCATGCACTGGGAAATTGACACTAAATGGTGGTCGCAGGTGATGAAAAATGACGTTAATTTTGCCGAGCGTCCCGACATGGCCCATCTCATGAATTTCATGCGCATCTTTTCGTTCATGAGTGTCCCTCTCATGGGCTCACTGCCTAGCGTAAGGTTCCTTGTTAATTCCTGTACATTCAATTCTAATAATTATATATTCAGGGTTTGTGGTTGTCCATCCTGACTGGTGTGGCGGTGTCATGCCTACAGTCCTTCATCCTGCAACGTGCAACGGTGCGCAGGTGGCTCAAGATAACCCCCCGTGTAGAACCAAAGGTCAAACCACCCACCATGATGGAATCTATGCAATACGCAAAATCGTGGTACATGAGCAAGAGAAGTGAGATCATCGCTGCTCGAACTCAGGCAGAAAAGACCCGGAGGAGATGAAATAAGCAGCGAGACAATATGCATAGAGTGTCCTATAGTATATCTCATCCATTAATACACCCAGGCTTCTGCTCGTTCTAAATCAAAATGGGAGGAATTTATTACGTAATGCTACGGTTGTAATGCGTGGGAGTACCCATAACCCCGACTTAGCTACAGCCGTGGTACTTTCGGCTGCGTACACTTCATGGCCTTCAAGTTGAGCCCAATAACAGTACAGGCGCCATCCGCAGCATCCCCTGACGCCCCCGTTCCAGCAGATGAAGAGTACTATTCGTCATGGTCTCTGTTTCTTGTTTGCTTGCTACTCATCGTCTCGTTATGGACATCTTATTACCTGCAAATCAGGAAAATCCGGGCCATCCATGAGACTACCGTCTCTATCTTTGCAGGGATGTTTGTAGGGTTGGTGGTTAGACTTGCACCAGGAACGATGATTCGAGAAATGCTGGTGAGTATCCACTCGTCGTCACGTCTCTGTACTGCTTTCACGGGCAGATGTGTCTTGCTCTATTGAGCATGTCTCTAATACTTGAAAACTGCGAGTGCCGTGGCTGAAGTTTGATTCATAGACTTTCAAACATACTCTGTTCTTCAACTTGCTACTTCCTCCCATCATTCTTAACTCCGGATACGAGCTCAAGCAAGTGAGTAATGCGCAGATATCAAAATAGATTCAGACATATACAACCTTGCTGCAGGAGAATTTTTTCCGAAATTTCGCCTCCATCCTTACTTTTGCATTCTTGGGCACATTAATATCAGCTGTCGGTGTCGGGTGCGTCAAATGCGAAAACGCTGCTTGCATTATCGATACTTTGCTTAACTGTTCTAGGACAGTGTGCTGGTGTATCTCTACTCATTCCTGGGACTAGAATCTTTAGATGTTACACTGCTGGAGTGCTTGATCTACGGCTCTACACTATCTGCAACTGATCCAGTGACCGTTCTTGCCATATTCAATCAGTATAAGGTGGACCCAAAGCTCTACACCATCATCTTTGGCGAGAGTCTGCTAAATGATGCGGTCAGTATTGTCATGTATGAGTAAGTTCGAATTGCCTTTCTCCTCTTAGAATCCGTCACTTATCTTGTTATTTTCAGAACTCTCGCGCAATTCCACGGCACAGAGATATACATCTCTTCCATATTCCATGGGATCGGAATTTTCTTGCTTTCATTCAGCGTATCCATGGCCCTTGGCGTTAGTTTCGGCCTGGCAATGTCCCTAACCCTGAAACACTCCTCAATGAGTCTGTATCCTTCCATCGAATCTTGTCTCGTTGCCCTCTGCGCATATACCTGCTATTTCTTGTCTAATGGCCTGTCAATGTCTGGCATCGTATCCCTCCTGTTCTGCGGAATCACCTTGAAACACTATGCATATCATACCATGTCCCGGCGAACACAGCGAACAACAAAATACATCTTCTCGACCCTCGCTCAACTCTCCGAGAACTTCATTTTTATCTACCTCGGTCTCTCACTTTTCACAAGTCCTCCGTCATCTGAGCGTGTTACCAACTATGTCAAGCCACTCTTCATTGTGGTCACGACGGTTGCAGTTGTGTTCACCCGATACGCAGCCGTCTTCCCACTATCTGAAGCGATCAACTTCTTCACTCGTCATGCTCGGGGACAGCGAACAGAGGAGATTCCACACTCTTACCAGATGATGTTGTTCTGGGCTGGCTTGCGAGGTGCAGTGGGTGTGGCACTCGCGGCTGGGTTCAAGGGCGAGAATGCGCAGACACTGCGGACAACTGTCCTTGTTGTAGTGGTGCTTACTGTTTTCGTCTTCGGGGGTACAACTGCACGCATGCTAGAGATCCTTGGTATTCGCACAGGCGTTGAAGATGAAGCTGCTAGCAGCAGCGACGAAGATGCACCTCCAGGACGCAACGCATGGCAGAACCGCCGCCATAGTGGTTCATGGAACAGGTACACCGACGATTCTGAGCCCTTACCATATTTTTCGCCATCGCAACATGGATATGGGCGGGCTGCAGGCAGAGTAGGGTCACACTATGCATCACGGACTTATAATCACCATTCGGGAGCACCACCATCACCGATCGGTAATACTATGTTTTCTGCAGCATCATCGGAGTCCTTTGAGTCAGAAGCGGAAGTACTCCCTATGGCCACGACCTCAGCGGATGCCGGTCCGTCTGCGGAAAGACACGATGACAGACAGGCCAACGAGGATGGCAAATGGTTCCAGGCGTTAGATGAGAGATATCTTCTTCCGTTGTTCTCAAATGCCACTGCTAGCCGCACGTTCCACGCCAGACGTGCGCGGAGGAATGTATCTGTATCCGGTCAACCCGCAGGTGGGAATCTAAGCGCACTGGGTACGCCGCATGACAGTGAAGACGAGGCCGAGAGCCCAGAGGTGGAGCTTGGAGTAGTGGGTACGATGACGCCTGGCAGGCAGTTTTCACAGTCTCCAGATGAGCAAATGCGTTCTGAGAGGGGACTCGCCACACCCGTCTTGCGGAACGGAAACGGTAGAGATGAAGGACAGAGTCGAGCGGGTTCGTAAAGACATTTGTCTTAGTCGTTTCATGGTATTATGTACCTAGTTAGAGTGTTTTTGCTAAGTGATCTACCAAGGATTTACTCAATTGAGAGTCGTTGACTAGACCAAAACTGGCGGTGAACCTTAGTAGTAATATGTTCGAGAGGGAGTCAGGTACCTAATTCATTCGTCAGGTCTTTCACCTGCCTGCACATTTTGAATAGCAGTAAGTGTGTGTGCAGTCGGTCAGTGACATGAAGCTTGAATTACCACACATTTATCAGGCAAGTTCTAATCAGTAGAATTACAGCAGCATTACACGCGTTTTGAACAACTTCCGAACGTCTTTTCCTTAAGTTCATGCACCTGGTAAGAGTATACTCAGGGCTCACTTCTGATGATATCATGAGCTTGGGGGCATCATGATTCACTGCATTGCAAAAAGATGTATCTTAATTAGACGCATGGCTGCATTTGTGGGTTGCAGAATTCCATGGCCAGAGAGATCTTCCTATGTATTCCCCTCACCACAAATGGATTATAGCAATCTAGGTGCAGTAAAGCGTGTTAACCAGTATTACTGCCCTATGCATAGTATACATCACCTAAATGTAGGTAGGGCCGTTGCCATTTATAGCATCGACAATATTGTTAATGAGTATGGAGAGAAATACATTAGTAAGGTGGTGGTACAACACGTTAGAAAGTAGTGAAGTGGTGGTGGGGTATACTAAGGTCATGATAAGATAACACAGCGATATTACAGAAGATCCGCATTCCGTAAATGAGTACGAAGAATACTTTCCTCGACTACGAGTACTCATGTGAGAACGAGAACATCCTAAGCTGTTGTGGACACTCACCTACGCTCAGCGTTGCTGCGGTCGCCTTGGTGTCCTAAAAATAAAAACCAGTCAGACATCCCCCGTACCAGCGTGGCCATGGGTACGCAATTCCTCAACGGTGGAACATTCTCAAGGAACCCAGGCACGTCAAACGGTGGGAGATACTCACGATTACCGATGTGAAATGGATGAAAAACGGCCGTGGCTCCGGAGAATGCTGTTTAGAAATTTCCCTAAAATGTTGTTGGAAGTCTGAAAAGAAGAGAAGGATTGCGTGAGCATCGACGTATAGCGATGACCTGTTCGCAAACAGTACATAAAATTGGGCTTACATTTCATTACTGTAACGGTATCGTTTTTGCGACTGCCGTAACTCGGGATGTGATCCTTTATGGACAACCCTCGCTTGATCTTATTGTGCAGGAGATCGCACTTGTTAAGAAAGAGAATGATCTCGGTCTTGGCTAGAATACGAGACGAACAGACTGATTTCCATAGGAGATAGCTATCTTCCAGGCGGTTTATGCGACGATCTTCACGGAGCTGCTCGTCGAAGCAAGAGATTGGGCAGAGAAAAATGATGGCATCGACGTCATCAAAATACGACGCCCATGCTACACGCTTCATAGGAGGGTTGTAAGTTCCAAAATATGACTAGATCAGCGATCAAGATTACCAAAGACCTCGTTCCGCCAACATCATACAATAGCCACTCTTTCCCGTTGCCTGAGGAATGCTACTTAATGACAGTGTTCGGAAGAATTGAATAACTTACTGTCGTCCATCACGACTCTGTGTTCTTGAACGCCAACCGTTCGTAGACGCGCACGAACAATGTCGTTGTCGCTAGGTTCATAGTCATATGATATGATGCGGTCAATGTCGTCCAAAAAGCTTCGACCCAATAAGTAAGGCTATTAAAATACAGGATAGGGAACGCTCACAAGCCCGGAGAATCTTCTATCTTTGTCTTGCGATGAGACAAAACTTGCTGGACGATGGGGTCCTGCCACAACTCTAACATGGTTTCCTTGCACGCGACGAGCACATCAGTAATCTCGTCGTGATCGCCATCACTCCGTCTTTGAGGTCGGGCACTGGCCATCATCGACGGGCGCAGCTTTTCCAAGGCGGACTTCCATCCATTTGTTGAATTGATACCAAAATCTCGCGAGGGGCGTTTGGGTAGTAGTTGAAAGCTCGGAGAATCAAATGGTGTTGCGGATATGGAAGCCGTTGAGCGAACTTCTTGCGATTCAGGACCGAGCTTGTTCTCGAGGTCACTCTGAATGCTGCGTAACGGGCCGAGACGCCGTTGCATGAAACGATGCTTGTCCGAGAAACGATAAACAATCTCATGATTGGTTGTCTCGTCGTCGGAATCGCTGAGATACTCTATTCCTGTAGACCCTGGGCGCTTTTCGCTTTCGGCTAGTGAAATTTCCCGACTGAGGATATCCAGGACCCTGACAATGTTGCGAACGAGGTTTAAATAAATGACTATCCGCCATGAAGCTCGCTCCTCCGCCCATTCGCGTCGTGCATGTTGTAATTGGAAGTCTGTGAAATGTGATCATCTTAACCCCTTAGTAATCCACGAGTGCCCTCGAAACGTACTTTTGAGTGTAGCAGATTTTCCTGTATCAGAATAAGTTCACTGCCGAGATCATGCCCTGACAAACGCACCGCTCTCGCTTTGTCCAAGGAGAAGTACTTTGACGGGTTTCTTCTTCTTTTTGAGCACGGTTCGTTCTTGACGGATTTGCTCGTCGATATCTTCGCTTATTCGACGAGCTTCGATCTCAGCCTGTTCCCGTGTTTCTTTCTCTTTGGGTGTTTCATCGTTAGGAGGTGCGATTGCAAGTGTAAGAGGGTCTTCCAGAGATATGCGCATTGTCACTGATTAGATGGTACCAGAAACAAGAGGTTACCAGATGAAGGATGAAGACGAGAGAAAAGACGATGAATTGTTACTCCGCCGAGGGAGACGACCAAATGGATCAATAGACGCCGTACGGCATATGGATAACTAGCCTGGAGAGTTCACAAGCCTTGGCGCATGTCAGAACCTGAAGAAGCAAGTTGGATAAATGGATAAACCATGTTTTAATCATCATAAACTTGCGGAAGTAGTAAATGTGCTATGTCAGTCCTGACTCCTGCAGGACCGTCACGAAAGTTGTCTTGACTATCCCACCGAGTGGGGACGTTCGCCCGTCCCTAGCTTATTAACTAAAACGTTTTACAATTGCACGAGTTTTGTTGCCGTTAAGGTGGCGTGATATATTTGTTTATATTTGTGAGAATCAGTTTCGCGATATAAGAGGCGACATGTGACTTTCCCGTGACTTTGACCTCCTTACCCCGTGACCAGCACGACACCTTGCTCCCTCAAAGTCATCCCGTGCCTACATCCCTGTTATAACTGTGAGTCAAGAAACTCTCAAAACAGTCCACAAAATAAATAAAATTACATGAGCAGTTGTTTGGCTCGTTGGCGACTCCAGCCCTCACCATGGCTTCTGCACAGCACTCTTCCATTCCCGCCGGCGCATCCACCACCAGCGTTGGTCAGAGCTCACCAGCACCAGTTGCAGGTTCTGTTCCCAATGGCGACCGCATTCCATTACAGATAGAGGGTATGGATGCTGCTCAAGTTTCTAATCTCCTCAAGAACCTACCGAGTCTCTTCCACAAGGTTCGTGACCAAGTATCCTTGAATATTATATCGGATTACCTTTTTATGGTTGATGAGTTACGAGTGTCCAAGTTTACTCTGCTTCTGTCATATTCGTCAATTTTCATTGAATGTGCCGCTGACACCATTTTTTTGTCACATTAACAGTCTCCTGCTCAGGGCGATATGACCGGAGAGGCTGCTCAATCTTTGCAGGCTCTCGCTCAAGCCGGATTGTTCCCTCTTCAAAATCAACACCAACTTCAGCACCCGATACCATTCCCTGGCGATCCTGGCCCTTCTTCACACCCCCGCGGCCCTCCTAACCTTGGGCACTTGTCTGCAGCTGCAGCTGCTGCAGGTCACACCCCTCCAGCCGCCCCACACACGCAGGATGGAGGGGACGCTCTCAGTGACACAGACATTGGAGAACAGCCTCCTTCGACAGCTCCACAACCGCCGTCCGGAACAACGGGAAGATCCCGGGCCGCCAGGAGCGCTGCAATGGGCACTGATGAGTGGACCCGCCAGCGTAAGGACAACCATGTAGGTGTTTTCGATGAGTCCTCCTGTGCTCTTGTCATTGGTACTCATATAATTCCTCAGAAAGAAGTCGAGCGTCGACGCCGAGGAAATATCAACGAGGGCATCAACGAACTCGGTCGCATAGTACCAAACAGTTCTGGTGAAAAGGCAAAAGGCGCAATTCTTCAGCGTGCTGTGCAGTATATCCATCATCTGAAAGAAAACGAGGCGCGCAACATTGAGAAATGGACACTAGAGAAGTTGCTCATGGATCAAGCAATGGGTGACTTGCAAGCACAGTTGGAGGACATAAGAAGGCTATGGGAAGAGGAGCGCATTGCACGACAAAGAGCAGAGAATGAACTCGATGTGCTGAGGGGTGTGTCGGGCCAGGCCCCAACGATTCCATATAAATCTCGTTCACGTTCAGTTGAGCGAGGACAGGATGGGCCGTCTAACAGAGGTCCGTTTGGTGAGAGTGAAGTACGAACAGAGCTTGGAAATCGACCAGAGGAAGGTAGTGGTGATGACTCAGAAGGTAGGCCCGGGAAACGTGCGAGAGTTGATTGAGGTTATGTAGTTCGTATTATCTTTTCAGCTGTATGATAGCATCACATAAATCTTACTTCTAGTGCCTTTTCTAGATATTCCGAGCCCTGTGTTATCAACAGACACTCGATATGCGTGGAACCGTTATTCCGTTGTTTATTCCCGCATCTGGGGAAGTTGCCGCGTCTTGGCGCTTT